TATTAAAGGGATTTTTCAATGAATTAGATTTGTCACACATCATGAAGATGATATCATTATGCCAATTTCAAAATGAAATGCTAAAATTTTATACCAAGAATTAAATATTTGGTATTTCAATAAAACAAAATGTGTGACACAAAAAATTAAAAAAAAGGTTTGAATTAATGTTCAATAGTCAAAATTTAAGTTTGAATAACATCATTCTACTCAATATAGTACTAAAATAAATTTGCATTTACATAACCCTTCAAATATAGTCATTTTTCAAACAATTAATTAACATATAATTCTACTCATACAATTATACTAACAAATCTAAACAAAAAAGAATCTAAACAAAATTGATGCGTTTTATTAATAATTTATATAATTATGTATTAACAACCCTTGGATTATCTAGCATTTCATCAATACTATTTGTAAATTTATTAAAAAATTCAAATTATGAAATTTGAATAAAAAATTACTATTTATTTATTTTCCATTGGAAATTTAGATGAGCATGAATAGTAGCAAACTTTAATAAATATCAAACTTAATGTTATGGTTGTATTTGAATGAAATGGATAAAACTTAGTAATATATCAATTTCATGTACATTATAAATTTGCAATGATTTCAATGTATGAATACAAATAGTATGATATGAAATTACTTTAAATCTTCACTCACATATATGCATTTATTTAGTGCTTATATGTGAATCTTTATATTATATGTGTAAAGATGTGATTTAAATATAGATACATTGTATATTAGTTTTTAAACATCTATTTATTATTTGTCACAAAACATTATTTAGTTCAATTTTTGTTTCATTACTATATATTGAGCTTCAATATCATGTATAATTCAATATTTTATTTGTACAAATACATAATACCATATTCTATACTAATTTATCATTGAGTTTCATACAGAATTGTAGCTATTCTTTATATATCAATAATGATTATTGTTTAAGATGATCATTGAATTTGAATTCTTGTGGAGATTCGATTATGAAAACTAATTAAGTCATATTGTATCATACATATAAATACAAGCCGTTTTCATATATATACAAACATAATATTGATAAGAAGTATATAAGAACATATAATTTTAATAAACAAATTTATATAACACATTTATTGCCAAAAATGTTCTATACTCATAATTGCTAATATTGTTCATGTTACATTACTTTGGATGACACTATATATATACAAAAAATAAAATATTGGATCAAATTTCTACAAATTGACTTGATTAATTAAATACACGCATCCTATTAACAATTGTTATTATTAGAAATTAAATATTCAGTTTATTAATTGAACAAGTAAAATGCAGAATCAATGCTGATATGTAATCATAATTTTGTTTGATATATGAATATATTGAAATAAATAAAATTTTATCTAACACAACATTTCATCAATGATGAATTCTGATTTTTTAAAAACGTTTATTTATAGTATATATCATATTACTATATAGAGTATTTTATATTGAAACTGGAATTATGATGTTTGCAATGATGTGTGAGATTAGATTTTTCACATGGATGTGATATTAATGTAGGTTGTAGGCAATAAATTCCTTTGTGATGACATATAAACTGACACATGACATAAATTTTTAAAAACTCATTATACTTCTTTAAGATGAATGGGATTAGAGTTGATGCAAAGTATGTTTTCAAAACCTATGAATATGACTTCTTCATAGCTCTAAATTTTATCTTATACACTGCTATACTCTACTACTTTCAAGAGAGTGTATAATATTTCAATTCAACATATCTACTTTGTAGATTTTGATGTAGTCTATTTCACATTACAAATAAAAGTAACTATATCATATAGAAAAAAATGTTAAAAATTTGTTTTCTTTCTAGTACTATATTATATATTAAATCATCTTTCCACTTAAAAAATGTTTAAAATTCAATACATATTAAACAACAAAATTAAAATTGAAGTACGTGTGAAATTTTTTTTACGTCATTTTAAAAAACTTCATTAAAATCTGTGTATGGTATAGAATCCAGATCATGCTTTCTATAACGTTTTCTCGTACATACAATCTTCTAGATTTAGGTTTGACCACAAAAAGTATAGGTAGATGACCATTCAGAATGTTGAAATTTAAAGTAAAAATTTCATATTTCTATATATATTCATAGATTGATCTTTAAAAATTTCTTGTTTTTTGAATAATGTACTTGCGTGAAATATATTTCACTATGACAAATTACAAATTTTTTTTTGCTTAGAAAAAAATTGCACTTTTTTTCCCCTGTTTGAGGAAGTAATGGTTTGAGTTCACTCGATCTTCTACATCTTGGATTTTGTTTCCCCAATATTAGTATGACGTCCTTTATGCTAATCGTAACTAGTCATCTGAAGGTTTTTTGGGGTGGTTGAGATGTTCGGAAACTGGAACATTGTTTCTTATTTCAAAAATTCATGCTGTCTTAGGTAGATTGATGTATCCCTGCTGTTCACTCCAAGGCTCAATGCGTAATAATGCCCTTATGCTCCACGAGGTAACTAACGTATAAAAAGTTTTTTCCAAGTCTTGTAGGGATGGATTTGTTTCAAATTCTTCACAAAGTTGTCATCTAACGCTAAGGTTAGTCATAGATTTGTCAATTAATCGAGTGAAAATTCACTATGATAAAACGCTTATTCCTCTAATTTCTTCAATGTATAGCAAGTTGGGCTGAAACTACCCTCCCCATCGCTCCCGTTTTTTTCGTTTTTTCTTGATGTCCTTAGTCATGTCTTGATGCCTACTTGAAGAAGAGTATATATATCTCCGCACTTTAAATGACTCTCCAGTGAGTATGTAAATAACAAAGGATTCTTAAACAAATGAAGTAAATAAATTATAATAAATTCCATTTATGTTTCTTTCGATTAGCTCTCCACTACTTCGTTGTCTCTCTATATTCACTCCAATGAAATTACACTAAGTAAGATACACTAACTTAAGATACACTAATTCCCTAAGTTTATTAAAATTTTCACTGGAAATTTTGTGTTACGCTTTACATTTATTCACATCTTCACAACTTTTGAAGATGAATGAGAATCAAAACATGTATTTTACTAAAGCCTAATAAAGTCGCTCGCAGTTGAGATATTGAGGCGAAGAATTCAAAGATGTGAGGAGGGTGCTTAATATTCTTCCCAATACCTAGGACTATTTTGTTCGAAAATACGGATCGCGCTTTGCCGTCAACCATCCAATAAAAGATCGACAATACAATCACGGAATGCAAGTCCAATCACGTTGCCCATAATGGAATGATGCCATGTGGAAAGCCGAACATGCGAAGTTCAGTTGGTGGAATATAGGGCGTTTCTCTGTCCACGATTAGGCCATCCTGGGCTGCCGTTAGATGGCAGAATCGAAGCAGGTGTACCATGTAGCAGAACAGGAGCGTAGGCCAGTAGATGTCGGAGCGTCGAACTGCGTGGGCCAGAACGTCGATCGCAACCGTCGAGTGTCGAATCGAACGGATGCGCAGGTTTCAACCACTCTATCCTTTCATCACATCCACCTGGAGCTCCTCGAACCGTCCGATGAAGAGATCGGATGAACACGCCGCTGATCAAACAAAAATCTTTATTATTATTAAGCGGCTTTTACTCACCTGAGATTGACGTGGAAAGATACACAGCTTGGATCCCTTCTTTTCAACGGCAGACTAATATATAATAGCTCGAAGCCATTCGGAGTCTCTTTCATCTACTTATGCAGACCAGATTCTTGTGAAGATTTACGCATCTGCGTATCGTCATGTCCATAAATGGCTTGATCCAAATAATCGGTGGAATTTCTCCCAATTTTAAACAAAAGTGTAAAAAAATAAAAAATTATCTGAAAAATAGAGCAGATAAAATTTGACGAAATGCTAACATAATAGGGTGTCTTGTCTAGAAATGGTGGAGAATATGAAGACTGGTCATGAGAAGCCACCGTTTCTCGAGAGAGTTGATTGTTTGGATCACCCACGTAAGCTCCTCGTTTGCATACTGGCGAATCAAAAGAAATCTTATACACCACCTTCGGGTTATCACAATGACATAGCTACCAAGATTCGACAACAATAGGAGGATAAGTTGAATTTGACTTTTGCGAATTGAATATTATTATAATTCTAGGACATGACTGTATGAAGAAGTTGCTTGCAGCTTCGCATTGTATGCATCCAACGGATCCGGTTCTTAAGGGGGAAGGGAAAAAGGAAAAACGCATGGAAGAATAAGAAAAGTAAGTCCCCAAAGTTAGGTAGGGAAGGGACCAGGGAAATAAGTAGTATGTGTGAATAGGTTTTTAGAGATGCTCAAGTTGGCATGAATAAAATATGCATATTATATATGAAAAAAGAAGGTAATATTCGGATGAAGCCAAACGGTTAACATGGACTAGGCCAATATAACTCAAATGAACCCTCTTGTGTCTAAAATACTTGACCAGTCTGGTTTAATTCTTCTACAAAGAGCATAACAAGAGAATTCTAAAAAAACATCACACACCGTGATTGAATTTTGTGTATTGCGCATTTAGCATTCTGCATAGGAAGGAAAACAACAACATCATTATGATAAAATAAGGAGATTAATATAATATATATCAAATGGTATCGTAAACTCTCACTGACATATCGAAATTGTTGATAACATTTCCATAGAGTTTCAAAGCCAGAGCAGGGATACCCATAAACTCGATGTTGCAATGATCCCAGCCCAATGCAACATAGATGAGCAGCCACCATAAATGTTTGCTCGGTCACGTGTAATGGAACATGGGGAAAATAGAGGAGGAAAAGGAGGAATGACGAAGGGGACGTGGAGAGGAGAAGGGATGACGCGCTGGCGGAGATGAGCGACAGGGACTGGCAAGCGGGCGGACGGGCGGGCGAAGGGGACGGGGTCGGGGGCCCGGGGGACGGGGCCCGGGGGACGAAGGCAAGAAGAGAAGGAACGAGGAGCGCAGAAGAAGAGACGAGACGACGAGAGAAGACGAGACTCGGCAAGGGACTCTGGAGCTCTGAGTCTCTGAGAGAGGGAGCGAGGGCGGGCAGGGAAGGAAAGGAAAGGAAAGGAGGAAGGAAGGAAGGAAGGAAGGAAAGGCAGGAAGGCAGGAACCGAGGGAGGGACGGAGGAGGAGCACTCAATCGGCAGGACGAGGACAGTGGGCGACGGCGAGGCTTGGAGTGCCACTAGCTGCTCGTGCTCGCTTCGCTCTTTTGTTGTGCGCGGTGTGATCATTTCGCTCGACAGGGCCCGCGCCGTCACCGATTATTGCCTCGCAAGTCAGCGGAAGGAAGGACGGGGAGTGGCGGTCGACTGGATCTTCAGGTGCGAAGGGCGGAGGAGATAGAGATTTGGGATCGAGAGGATTGGAGCGGAGGATTTGGACGAGAGAAAGAGAGAGAGAGAGAGGAGGGACGAGGATCGGTCGAGTATCTGCTCCGGGCTGGCCGGCTGTGAGCCGATTGGATTCGTGGAGCGACGGAGCGAGGCGGGGCGTGCTAGGGTCGGGTGAATTGCGGGATTGAGACGAACGAGGTTGAGAGGGATCTGGATCTGAATTTGATCTTCGGTGGAGAGTCAACATGGATGAAGAGTATGATGTGATCGTTCTCGGAACTGGTTTGAAAGAATGTATTCTCAGTGGTCTTCTCTCAGTGGATCGTCTCAAGGTAATCTGGCATGCGCGACGGTTTTGCCCCGGAGCATCTGACTTGTAGCATCTCTGCCTCTCTCCACCTCTGCCATGGAATGATACATAACTGAAGCCGGAATGACGCAAACCTAGTCCAAGTATCCAAGATTTTTCTGTGTTTGGATACAAAACGGTCGATCAAGTCGCCAGTGGATAGGTTTTTTCTTGAAAGACTTGCCCATCGTAGCCATGACAAGTTGAAGAAACCAGACGAGATGATGACAAAGACTGCCGTTTCCAGTTTTAACATGTCCGCTGCCGATCTCTCCTTCTGTATTCGTACAAATGTTCGACTTCTGACTCTGTTCCCTTTAAGTAGGCTCTGTGAAAACCGCACCTAGCAAGGCAAACGGTCGTCTCCCTTTGATATGGAAGCTGATAGGGTAGGAAGAATTGCCTAATCTTGCCAGGCGAGAAGTAATTTCGATGTATCTCACACTGTGAACCTAAATTTCGGCTCGGTTCCTCGTAAAACTCGTAACTTGCAGCTGAGAATGTCGTGGTTGTTGTTTTACGTTTTATGAGTCCATAGACACCGCATTTGATAGGTAGATTATTTGAGTTGGTACCTGCTGTTCATTAGGTCAGCATAGCTTCAGTGTAACTTTACGAAAATTTGGAACGGTAATCACATGCTAAATCTGGTAGAAGAAGTTTTCCAACTTTCTTAGTCGTTTCTGCCGCAGGCTATGACGTTGTTGTGGTTGCTTTTATCCTGCAGACCCACGGATCCAGTTGTAACATTTAACATGCTTCTATTTGCCTATATGCGCATTGACTTTCAAAGCAGTTGTTTGAGGGAAGAGAGAACAGTTTTAAGAACTTCGTGGGGAATCAGGAATCCTTGTATGCTTTGTTTTTATTTTCTCTATGGCGATCAATCTAGTTTCGTAGGCTCCTGTGACTTTCAGTTTTCTCAGTCTCACGCATGATCTATTCGAACTCTGCCCGATTACCAGGTCTTGCACATGGATCGAAATGACTACTACGGAGGGGCTTCTGCCTCGCTTACTCTTAACCAGGTGTGCATCTTCACCTGACACCATTTACCTCTGGTAGCATTGCGTTTTGTTGCCTGGAAGATAGGTCATTTTCACATGGTTTCAGGGAATCTGATCATTGTTGTTCAATCTTGACAGCTGTGGGCCAAATATCGGGGCACTGAAAAACCCCCTGCTTCATTGGGGTCTAACAGGGAGTACAACGTGGATCTTGTTCCCAAGGTAAGCTGTTATTGTCCTGTTTATTGTGCAGATGGTTGGACTGTTGTGTTGCAGAAGTGCTTGCAGAGCTGCTACTATTGACTAGATTTCCCATTTGGGCTACTCAAATCGCATGAGATGATTCCTGATTCCTGATCTCAATATTCTCTTGTTTGCTAGATGAAATATCTAGATCCGATTTTGTGGATTTCTCACCACGGATGATTTAATGTTGCAAGCACATGTTGAAGCAATCTACCTCTGTCTGCAGTTTATGATGGCGAATGGAACTCTGGTCCGAGTGCTCATCCACACAGATGTCACGAAGTACCTGTCTTTCAAGGCTGTGGATGGGAGCTTCGTTTACAAGCAAGGAAAGGTATGTCTTAGTGCCCATTGTACTTATGAACACTGCTATCGACGATGTCACGATTGATGTCTCAGAGCATTGCGCTAATTTGCACGAATCGAGCAGAGTCGGAATCGTTAATGTCGTTTGCTTGGTTTTGGTGAGCTCATCTGGAGCGTAAAATTTTTAAATTTTTGTTAGGTGGATTGTTGCAGCTCTTTGCTACGATTCTCATTTTTTTTCGTGGAGCTTAGGGGCAGCGTTTATTGCTCCTCGAGCTTCAAGGTATACATGGCCTTTAGGGAATTTCTGCTTGAAAACCAGCAGACTGACTTAGTTAAAATGACCTGGAATGCAGATCTACAAGGTTCCAGCAACCGATGTGGAGGCTCTTAAGTCTCCCCTTATGGGGTTATTCGAGAAGCGTCGAGCCAGGAAGTTCTTCATCTATGTCCAGGACTACGAAGAGAAGGAGCCCAGGACCCACGAGGGTATGAATCTCAGGGCGGTCAAAACCAAGGAGCTCTTTGCGTAAGACAATCATAACCTAATGTTTCCAGATCTTAATCGAGTCCTGCATTTGTCATAATCTGTCGAAGGCTTGTTTGCACTTACCGACTCTGTTCAAGGCACCTTGAGATAATCTATAGAGGTTTTGGTTTGTTCAGCTCTTTCATTAGCTCATAATATTTTGAAAATAAAATATTTATAACTCTATGTTTTGCGAGCTAATAAAGTATTTGCGGGAAATTCGGAAATGCAGGAAATTCGGTATTGAGGAGAATACCATAGATTTCATTGGTCATGCTTTGGCTCTTCACCGAGATGATGATTATCTCAACCAGCCTGCTTATGACACAGTCATGAAGGTCAAGGTATGTTTCATCAGCTGACCCCGATTGATAGTCTGGAATTATAACCATGTATCTGGAGTCCTCTTTCTTTGAACTTGATGCACTGAGGTTAGTGTTCCCCAATTATATCGAGTCCATTTGCCTTTGTGCACCTGGATGATTAATAGTTGCCATGTGTAAGTAGCACTTGTGCAGAGATTTTTGCAATATTCTTGACAGAGACGTTTTCCGCCGTCTCCCTACGGCCGTCATTCGCTTTTCCTAAAAACAATATTGTTGCAAAGTTCGGAGTGACCTTCAACACACCTAGCCTCCCCCCATTGTATATTCGTTGCCGATGGGGTGCTTGAGACTGATAGCTTCTTTGGGCCTCAAATCATGCGGATGGGTTGTGGTGATATTGAGTTGACAGATTATTCCTCTCTTTGAATGCAGTTATACGCAGAGTCATTAGCGCGTTTTGCTGGTGGTTCTCCCTACATCTACCCTCTGTACGGGCTTGGCGAGTTGCCTCAGGTAAGTCATGTTTGAGGATGTACTACATCTATTTGCTGATTCCCACTCTTGTCAGTCAGTAAATATTCTCATCAACATGGGTAGACAGGCAAATCCGATTCGGGAATGGAGCATGTGTCATAATGTTAATGGTAATTTATGTCCATCTATTCCATGCCTATTGTGCGGCACTGAAGCCTACGCTAGCATGTGAGTGTATAGCTACTTGAAGTTACCTGAACCAGTTTGAGTGGTCGAAGATGGAATATAAGTGCATCGCACTGCCTTGGGCATTTTTCTCAAAGTATCGTTTGACTGACAGGCTTAGTACTGATTTTGCCGAAGAGGTTTCCGTTCAAGTTTTTCTTTTGGATTTTAGACTTTGTCTTCTTTGTAAGTTAACGTATTTTTCTTCCTGTTGGATGCAGGCTTTTGCCCGTTTGAGTGCTGTGTACGGAGGTACCTATATGTTGGCAAAGCCTGATTGCAAGGTGAAAGTTCTTGTCAATTATGTTCTCATTTCACATATTTATAATCAGACCCGTTAAGCATCTTGGTCCCAGCGCTGCTTCCTATGAATCAACTAGTACAAAGATGGAGCTTCGTTGTGCTTCATGTGTGCCACCGTCCTGTTTTGTTCATAAAAAGAGTTAGTTCTTCTATCATGTTACTTTCGAAAGGTTTGAAAAAAACTGTACATCCAGGCAGATGTTCGTATTCTATTTACTTCCCGTATTTTGACATTGTTCGATTGTAGGTTGAGTTTGATGAGTCCGGAAAGGCCGTGGGTGTAACTTCCGAAGGTGAAACTGCGAGAGCTAAGAAGATCGTGTGCGATCCATCTTACCTTCCCAATAAGGTAAGCATTGAGTAGGAAGCTCAAAACTGCCAAGTCGTCGTGCTTTTTCGACTTTGTAGAAAGCAGTTGCGCGCGGTTAGTGGAAGAAAATTGAAGTTGCGAGACTGAATTACACTGATGTTCATCCAGGAGAGCATATCTTTCATTCTTTTGTGCTACGTTATTTGTCCAGGTCAAGAAAGTCGGCAAGGTGGTGCGAGCTATCTGCATCATGAGCCATCCTATTCCAGACACCAACGACGCACAGTCTGTCCAAGTGATCTTGCCACAAAAGCAGTTGAATCGGAAGTCCGATGTGTAAGCTTCTTCCAGTCTTTTGCTTCTACATAGATTTTAGCTTGAAGCATTGGTGGATCTTACTGTAGGAAGCCAGTATCACGTACGGTAACATGTCCATGTTTTATGCAAACACTGAGGAGTTTGTACACTTTACATGTGACTGATCAAATTCTAATTGTTTGCAGATATGTATTTTGCTGCTCGTTTTCTCATAATGTTGCACCAAAGGGCAAATACATAGCCTTTGTTTCAACAGAAGTTGAGACAGACAACCCAGAGAGGGAATTGGAGGCAGGGTTGAGACTGCTTGGCCCCATTGACGAGAAAATTATCGACACCTATGAGAGATTCAAACCTGTAAATGAAAGTTCACTAGACAACTGCTTTATATCTGAAGTAAGTCCCGAGATTTTGAAGTTTAAGTTCGCGCTAACGCTATGTAAAGTTTGCGGTTCGCCAATGGTGATAATCTCAATGAAGCGGCGAGGCGGAAGATCCTAATTTTGTTCCTTTCATTGCAGAGTTATGATCCAACTACCCACTTTGAGACTACTGTGGCCGATGTGCTTCAAATGTACAAAGGGATCACTGGAAAGGTATACGTTATTAATGATCACGCCACAACTGCTTTTCCTTCTGGCTAGATGTCTCGAGTGGAGAGAAATTATTCAATGTAATGAGCAATATTTTGGTTCGAGGTTTCAGGTTGAAACAACTCGAAATCTGAACAAGACTAACTGATTGAGTTTCACGTGATTTTCCAGGAATTGGATCTGAGTGTGGATTTGAGTCACGCTAGTGCCGCAGAAGAGTGAACTGGAGAACTATGGAAGAAGGTAGTAGTGAATAGCCAACAACAGTTATGTGCGTATCTGAATTCTAGGTAATTGGTCCATGTGGGTGTCAATAGCTATCTATGGGACGGGATTGTCCGTATGTTGCGTGTCTCCGTAGTTTACTGGTATGACAGCACCTGGTAGTTTCATTGTTTAGAAATCCACGTTATCCTTTTGACGAAGACAGGTCGGTTGGTGGTTTTTTTGTCGAAAGGGAAGGTTGGGAAGAACTTTTTGCCCGAGCAGCATATGCTTAGCGCAGAAATCTGTGTTGTTCTTTGACGGCTTTGAATCGAAACTGTTGATCTTGTAGGCCTGGTAGTGAGTTAAATATTTTTAGTCTTAAACCATATGTTCAAAGATCCACCCTTTCACAGCCGTGTCATCTACAGATGTCCTGTTACTCCAAATCTTCAGGCAGGAATATGAACGTTTTTCAGTTTGCACAGATTTTTGGAGTATGCTCCATATTTGGACCTGTTAGAGTTACAGACATTGTGCAGCTGCGGTCAGAAGTATCCGAGCTAGGCTTCGCGATGATTGACTCGCGGGAGTTCATCTGCGAAATCTGCTCGAATTTCTGGATTTTGTTTTGTAAAAAGTCATTGTCATATTCCTTTGCAGTGCCGTATCACTCGTGTGAAGTAGGAAAAACATTCTTCACCTTACAAATTTGTCTGTTTCTGTTGCATACAACTTTGTTGGCTTTGTACGCTTTGTTGCTTAAAATTTCGAGGCTCATTGTGTGTCACTAAAAACTAGATTATGTAAACTTGTGCAGCTAGAAGTCATAACATCTGATTCAGTGGTTGAGAATTTCTATCTACGCCACAAACCAGTAGTAACTCCTCGAGTTATGGAACACACAGTTGCTATGATAAGAGTAGAGCCACTTTCCTCTTGATATAATGGACCATCTGAAAGAGCTAACAAGACACTGTTGAATTTTTAAAATTGTTATCCAGCGAGGACTCCGGATTCCTTGGAATCATTCTCAAGAATCGACTCCCTTAACGTTTTCTGCACTCGCCGTTTTTTCAATAACCACGAGGGTCCAGAGGATTTCTATGTACGAAAAAGAAAAGCGGTTAGGAGCCGAATTGCCTTCACGGGCTCCATTCATGCAATTTGGTGTGCGATCGTATATTGTGTAATGTACTGCGAAGTCTATGAATCCAGAGTGTGGTGCAAATTTAACTTAGGGACGAATCTAAGGACTTATCTGCAGCACTGAAGAAACATGGCTACTGGTGGTTGTAGCAGAGGTTGTTTGTAATTATTGTTCGTAGTCATTTTGATATTGTCCTACACATGACAGTGTGTTGGAACCTCGAAGAAATAGGAGAAAGACGGATGCTTGTCTCTTGTATGAGGTTGGTGACCTGATGACAGGGAAGCCCAGTTAAACGGCGGCCGTAACTAAAACGGGTAAAGAGACCCGGCGGGTCTTCGTGTGCGGAAATCGTAAAGTCGGCCAGAGGACCTGTAAAGCCAAAGAAGTTTGGGTAGAAATTTTTTTTAAGTAAAGCCAAAGAAGTTTGGGTAGGGACACCAAAGGGAAAGTCGTTGGGTGCCGAGAGAGACGGGATTAAAATCCAGAAAATTGGAACAGTGCGTGTCTATGTCTGACACGTGATTCTATTCTATACACAATTGGGACTACATATTGTACATCACCCTGGGTCTGAACATGTACCCTGATATGAATTATAAATCGTACAATACATCAAGCAGCTTCAGAGAAGTCATTTCAAGACGAGAGGGAAAGTGACATCGATTAACTTAGTTAAAGGTTTGAAGATTTTAGGCAACATTTCATCATGAGGCTACATTATCATGCTGTAACCGTTTTAGGAATTTTTTACTTGTTCGTCTCGTAACTATGACACACTATCTTGGCGCCTGTTATACTGGAATTTCTTGTAGTTTTTCAGTTCCAGTAATTTATTCTATCTTGTTATTCTATAAACCTCGACACATAGAACTTGAAAGTCTTAGATACAGGGTTAGTTCAATCCAAATGTGTAGAAGATATCAGAAGTTTTTACCGAATAATTCATGGAAATGGGTGGAAACAATATTCACTCCCTAAACATCTCGCACTTATGTTGAGCAATTTCTGTTTTTCATCTGCCGGTATGTCTTGACAGCAAGATTCCAAGTTCATCAAAATGATTGCATAATTACATTTACACAGATAGAAATGTTTATTCACTTCTTCTATTGACAAATGTAGTTTCTACATTATTTAATAATGGTTAGAGAAGATGAAAGTTCAAATCTTTCCATAAATCGTCCTGAAAATCTTAAATAATAGTTTTAAATGCAATTTACACATTTATTGAATTATCAAAATATCAATTCATTTATCATATCAAAAAATTCAAATTTTAATCTTTATTCTCAAAAGGGTTAAGCTAAAAGATTTTGCAATTTGAAATTCACCTCACCTATACTTTACAAATAAAAGTGAAAACGTATTTTTCATATTTTAATATCACTTAAATACATTTAAAATTGAATCATATTCTCAAGTTTAATATATATATTAAAAAAAAGATAACATAGAAAAAAAAAAGATATAGTTTCATGACACATTGATATTGAAAATTTGAATTATAAATAAAACTTGGTTCAAATTTGATGCAAATGATGAGAAATTATACAAACAATCAATTTGATAAAAATATAAATTATTAAAAATTATGATTTTTTCACAATTAATACATTTAAAAAAAAAATTCCATGTTATTTTTTAAAAACTAATTTTTTTTGATTTAGAAACTTAAAAAATTTAAAATATATTTTAGTATGAATAAGTAAAACTAAACATTTAAAATTTTATTTTAATAGATTTTTGTTTTCAAAATACATTAAATAAGGTAATTTATTTATTTTTATATATTGATTATATAAAGATTAAATGATGAAATGAAATAAATTTTTAAAAGAAATATTAGGGAAAAAATTTAAAAATAAAATTATGCACCTATATTCTACAAAGCGACCCCTCCCGCAAAAACTCCTGCTATAGAGTTCCAATTTGAACTTGCAGTGCGTAGCGCATACTTTGGCGGCGCCAAGGATCAAGACACAGATATGCATATATTGGATAAAAATTAAAAATTCTTCTAAGTTCTATCTAATATTGATGATATTTGAACAACTTCATTGGTGTTAATAATTTTGACTACATGATTTAACTGTCGATTTTTTCAAAACATGTAATTTGATAAAATTTAAATTAAATTTTTTTAATATTTCAAACATGTAATTTTAAAAAATACATGTAATAAAATAAATGCTTAAAGTTCCTAAATTTGGTTTATTTCATCAGGTTTCATTTCAAGAAAAGTGAGAGTAAATATGAATAATTATATAGTACTTGAATCAATATCATATATTAGATTATGATTATGTATATGCATTTTAATTTAATAAAGAAAAGAATTTTTTTTAGCATACACACTGAAAAGGGCATTTTTTTTTATAAAATACATAAATCATGTGATATTTGAAATATATATTTGCTTACAGATTTTACATATCTTATGATCATATGACTTTGTAAATGGTCTGAAACAATTTTCTTTTAATTTTTTTCAGATGATTAATTATGAACTTAAATCTTGAATTTATGGTTGTACAGAATATCAAATCACTTTATACGAAAAAATTTAGCATTCTTATGTTTGATTGTTGAGAAAAATTTTATTTTTAGTTTTATAACTGAGATAAAAAACATTTTATTTTATTTATTAAATTAAATTATTTCTTAGTTTACTTTAGAATTTTATTTTCTATTTGAAATGAAATAATATAAGATTATTAAAGATAAATCACTTTTAGAAGTTTTTGTTTTCCAGGATAATAACAAATATCTGATATTTAAAGATAAATCACTTTTAGAAATTTTCTTTCCGAGGATGATAACAAAATAAGTTTTTAAAGTAATCAATTGTAATTATACAGATTTTGGACAGTTATATAAAAACAAGATTATAATTGTGTAAGTTCATATCATATTTCATATAATATATCATCTAGCATAAAATGTTGAGGTACGTTTTTTAAAGTTAAAGATTTCGTTAAATGATCAAATTAAAAATCAATTTATAGATATTGCAATTTCTGTATCACTGACATTAAGATATGTGATAATATTGGAAGAAAAATTTGGAAAAATATCATAATATAAAAAATTGGATATTTAGGAAAAATATACTTTGGAAATTCAGTTAATTTGTAAAAAATATCACCATAAAGAGATCATTGAAGTTAGATTATGGATTGGCATGTCATATTGATAGCAAATGTATTATGATGTTATATATAATGAATATTTTTTAAAAAATCCTTTTATCAGAATTTCAGAAAACATTATGTATCGAAATATTTATAGATTGGAAGGAAATTCAGAAATATGAAGATTTTTAATTTGTGATGTTTACAACATAACATGGAACGGATAAATTATCATGCAGTCTTCATGATAATCAGATAAAAAATAAAATAGTTACAAGAATTGAAATTTGTAGTTATTCATTTTGAATTGAATTGTTTTTAAAAAAATTTGAAATTGAAATTCAGTATTTAATTCATGAATATACAATAAAAAGTTACATAATCCAACAAATGTAGAAAATTTTAAGCTGATAAAGAGACCAAAATGTTTAACATGTATATGTCACATGCCGCTATCCTACTAACGCTCTGTATTTATGCATAGATTTACATCAACAGTTGCTATGTCTCCACAACTCAGATCAATTTATGCAGAAGAGAGAAAGTGTCACATGAAAAAATAAATTGATTGTTTCATTGGAATATAACTCTAAGATAAGAGAGATGTGAGAGAGGCACGATTCTTCGCATATGAAACACAGAATGATTAACCAAGAGGGAAAGTGCGAAAAGTTCCCAATGACTTGTGTGGTATATTTCCAAGATAGATATGACGACCTGTAAGTCAACTGTAACTATATCCAACTAATGAATCCACGCTATTTCCCAAAATATTAGAATCACTGCGTCTTAAATGAGACATTCTATCACAATCTCACGGAGATTTTCGTCAGTCCTAGAAGAATTTACCGACGAAGGCCATAGGAGTGCTGAAAAAATAAAAGCGTCGGAATGTGCGGAGGAAGGGAAGGGAGGGTCCTCATCCGAAGAGAAATAAATAAATAAATAAATAAAAATCCCAAAAATCCGCCTTCACAATGCGAAAATGTATGCAAACGCAGAATTGAAAATCGTGCCCGGGGTGCGATAAGAGAGCACAGTGGCGAGGGTGGTGAGAGGGCCGAGGAAGATTTGCACTCACATGGCAGGCCATGGCATGGCCATGGGCGTCTGAGCTCAGTCTGACAGTGGCAGCACAAATATCTGCACCCGTCGCCCTCTGCCTCCGCCTCCGCCTCCACGCCTCGCTCTGCAGCAGCAGCAGCAGCAGCAGCGCCTTTTTAATAAATTCCTGCTTTCGGAGGCCCTCGAATGCACGTGGCGCATCGCGCCTGGACGATGCTCGTCGCTGCGGAATGAGCCTTTCTCGCACCACCAACACCAACAGTTTGCGGATCAGCGGATTTCTTCGTCCTTCCTCGTTTTCCGTGACCCTTCGTTCCTTCAATCCTTCGCCCTTTATTTAAGTCCTTTAAGGGGAGG